TAACATGCAAAAAGTAGACAAATTCACTTACTTCTCAAAATTTTCCTGGCTCTCTAACTATGCAAGAGCCATTCAAATTCAACCAAGCTAGTCGTTAACTTTCCCATGGGAACGAATCTTGTACTGTGAGTGAACTTGATGATATTCTGTTCAGAATACAATGTTTTACAATACGTCACTTGATAGATAAAAATCTTGCCTTTCTACTGGTTATAGGTAATATATAATGAAACATAAGAGAGAATTATTAACAAATTGTGGGCAGGTGGGATCTGATTTTCTATTCGATAGCTCTGTAACCAAACAAAATTGAAGGCTATAACAACTTGGGTTTGTTTGAGCAATAACAATTTTATAGAGAGCATTTTACATTTAATTTCCTACTTTTTTGGCTGGATGGATAAAATTGAGATTATGACATGCTACGACAAAATGTGTCATGTAGGTCACACTAGTGAAAATTCAGGATTTTTTAAAATATTGCCATGTGGAATTAAGAACTTAAAACTTGTATACCATTAAAATATGGATTATTAGCTGAGATTTGATGCTATTTTAACATAAACAAAAAGTAGTTTAATAAAATTTAGAATGTAAACACAAAAACCTTGTGTCATGTGCAGTAAAGGGTACTTGGGGTTATAGGGTTAAACCAGAATTCTGTTATTTGCTATATTTAATTTTTTGGTCTTATCACTTTACTAGTTAAGCAAGTCAACATTTTAAAATACACGTTATTACTGTTTTCCTTTTCCCTGCCTCATTATATATAAAGTGAAAAGGTTATTTAAGCATCTTATTGTCTGGAGTCTAGACGTACCTTTATTCAACTACAATTATATTATTGAAGATATAGAAAGCCAACGAAGAGAATTCGCATAGCTAATTGGTCATACGACAATACATTTGCAGTTTAATTAGTTCTTTTAAAGGCTTCTTTTGAAATAAAGGACTTAAAACTTAATTAACATAAAACTTCAAATCATAAGTAATAATGTTAATTTCATTCAGATACATTGATATTAAAAGAGTTTGAATCTAACACAATGACTTGCACAGAAAATGGTTTAAAGAGGTACCCATCACAAAGGGGTTAACAGCATGATTTTAACAGTTGTTTCATACTGTTAGTATGTCCTGTAACTGTTCCATTACTCTTCTAGGTGAACAACAATTCCTGATGGAGGCTTGTAGCTGAAGTAAAGGGTTGAACAAAATACAGTTTTTTAATCAGTAATTTTAGATTGCTTTAAACTAAAATATGAGCTTAATATTCTAATCGGTACTCGGAAATTAAAAAACCTCCTGAAAAATATACTTTAATTCAGCAATCTATATATGGATTAATAAGCAGTTTTGAAGCAGCCAGTTTCATGTTTGAAATACTGCTTCAGTGTTAATACGTTACTGGATTAATAGGTGCTTGGATATTTTTAAAACTACTGGATGAATACTTTTACGTCTTGGCTATCTAATGGTTGAAATAGCCTTATTCAAGTATAGAAAGGTATAGACATAGTCCTATTGCTATCAAGATAATGTTTAAACAATCTGTGAGCCTTTCATAGTTCTGTCTATACTGCCTCTTGAAGTATGACATCAAACTGACAAACAAATTTGGCAGAAAAGTTAACATTTTCTTAACTTGAAAATGTATTTCTAATAATACTACTTCTCATGCTACAGCTATTACTTGACTTCTTCCTTCACCCATCCAAGCAATGGTCTGATTTTTTCTTGCTTCCTCCAATCTTTTATACCACACTTAATTGTCCTTGGCGATATAAGTCTTGTGATACTCTCCACCTATGTCAATGCTCCCTCTATAGTGGTACTGTATACAAGCACCTCATCAGATAATTTTATCACTTTTGCAAGACTGACTCAATCCTAGTCTCTAACACCAGCTCTTAGTGGGGAGGAAAGGTGGGAAAGTGTGAGAGGGGGTTAGTATTATTGGAAATACATTTTCAATTTAAGAAAATGTGAACTTCCAAAACATATTTACCTCTACTCACACTACTGCTAGAACCTCAAATTGATAAGGTGGTGGGGCCAGTGAGGGTATTACCTATATAGAAAGCAGATCATGAGTGTGCCAACAGACAATTGGCACCCTAGTGGGGAAACCACACTACATCTAGAACAAGTATGCTCTTCACCAAGAACTTAATTTATGTACTGTGGGTGGAATTTTACGATATCTGATCACTATTGGTTAGGCCCCAAACAGCCGAGATTCTAGTGCTTGGGGTTGGAATTATAGGGCCATGGTCCCTATATCCAATGTTGGTGACAAAGGCATTTGGACTGCAAAATATATAAATGTATACTTATGAGTGGATCCCAACCTGTAGCCATAGAGTGATATATTCTGAGCCACTGGAATCACAACGAGAATATAAGCAACATCGAAATGGACAAACCTTCTCCTCAACCTGAAGAAGTCCAAAAGGCAACACCCCAGGCACAGAATGACAGGATCTTGTATCCCTTACTCAACCTGAGGAAACAGAACTCATCCTCACTCGCTAACCATGTGGGCAAGTTAAATTCCACTTGCCCCCAGAATCATGGGGAGGATGTGGAACAAACTGCTCAACCAAGGACCCAGGATGGGAACACTCAGGGTCAGAATTACAAAAAGACAGTGGGCCCTCTTCCATAAACAATGTATTGAACAAATATTGATCAAAAAGAAGGACCATGCTCAACCCAACCAGATAGCTGAGTGTCACATCTGAACCAGGATTATGAGTAATCTCCAGTGTAGGCTAGTGCCTTTCCTACCACCATCTGGGAGAAAAACATCCAGGAACAAGGGTAAGAGGGCTCGCAATTTTGACCTCTTCTCCAAGAACTGGAATGGTCGTTTGGGACCAAGTGACTTAAGGAAGCCCAAGAGTACTGGGGACTCAAAGAATTTTTGTTATGAGTATTGAACAATAGTCAATAAGACTGCCTTATACAGGGTAATTGTGGAAGATCCAAAACCCTAGCCAAAGAGTCAGGTCAAAAAACGAGTTATGGTTGGCACTTCTGGTCGAAGTGGGTTCAACATCCTTTCAATACACCATTGCTGATGTGTGTTCCATTTTTATAGATAAATGTCCATAGTGAGACTAAGCAAAGACTGAGACAGATACATGGCAACCTTAGAAATTAAACTCCAATGCCATGTGAAGAACTGCGTAATCTCCATGCCTGAATGATTTCGAAAGGTTGACCTTTCTTCTTCAGGGTTAAATTGCTGAATAGATTGGTGTTCAATGTCAGACTATGGCTGCCTCTACAGAAATGGCCAAAGAGGAAGTTGAAGAAGTGGGCACTCTTGAAGGTACTGCAGAAGCCGAAACCACGGTGTAGCTGCTAATCCAGTGCTATCAACAGGACCCGACAATGGGTTGGAACAAATCATATTTCGTATCTTGGGTAACATATGAATTGGAGGAAAGGCCTAGAGTTGTAATCCTGTTCCATCCTAATGGAATGCATCCATTGCCAAAGCCCAAAGATGAGGTACTGGAGACCAAATTGCCAGTAATTGGGTGTTCCCAAGAGTGGCCAAACTGCCAATCATCTGTTTTTCAAAATGAAAGCCAATCCAACAGAAAACCTTGGGATGTAGCATCTATTCTGTTGGAAGAATCTGCTTGGGTTGAGACAATTGATATGCTATCTCCTGTGGAACATGGCAAGCTAGTAGGGTGACATTATAGAAGTGGTCCCGATAAAGGAGATCCATGGTTCAAAAACAAGGAGCCCTGGATATGCACTCCAACCCTGAAGTGAGGCATTCATGAAGAGATGGATCTCTGGATGAAGTGACAGCAGAGGAATCCATATTTTAGTAATGTCCTGATCTAACAACCCCTTGAGATTGAAGAATGATCCTGAATAAGGAAACTGGGGAATCCAATGAATCAGTGTTTATGATCCCTTGGTTGCATAATGAAAATTGAAAGGATCTCTTATGTATTTATCCCAAAGGCATAAGGGATTTGAGTGATGCTCACATTCCCAAGAGAGAAAGAATCATCTGTGCAAAGGAAGAAGGAGAGGTGAGTAAGAATTGGGCTTCCTGTTCCATAGCATGGAGCTGGATGGGAGTCAACCGAGTCCGACTGAGAAACATGATGAAAAATAACCAGAATGAGGACCTACTGAGTTGGGGCAAGAACAGATGTCTCAGCTCTGAGAATGAAGCCTGCCTTGGTTGTTTCTAAAAGTTGAATCTGGGTGTGACGTTCCAACAATTGAGATGGTGCTAGTATTAACCACTCATCCATGAAATGGTGTGTGCACAGGGCTATGGTATGGAGGTGACGAGAAAATGCTCATACGATTCGTCAGAACTCATGTGGTGCCAATGCTAGTCCAAAGGTAAAAACCCTGAACTGCAGTACTTGACCCCTGTGCACTAAAAACGCTGATAGCAGTGGGAGTCTACCACTATGGCAATGTGCAGGTAGGAGCTGACTACATCAAACTTACACATCCACAATCCTAATAAAAAAGAAAGGAGCCAACTCAGTGGGAGGAATTAGTCACTTGTGAGCTTTGGAGAATCTAGGAACTGATATGGATGAGAAAAATTGATGACTGGATACCAATCTCCTGTATTTTTGGGCTCAACAAACCAATGCGAATAAAACCTCAGAATAACTGGCACGACTCTCTTTCTCTACCCCAGAGCAATCAAACTCTAATAAGCCTAGAACTAAGTTCCGAAATCTGGGAGATAGAAACCCTTAAGGTTGAGTGGATAATGGCGGTGAAGATGTGAACTGACTAATCCTGACTCAAGGACATGTAGTGCCCATGGATTCGTGGTTAAGGTTTACCATGTGCCCTGAAATTCTTGGAGCTGAGCTCTCACAGACCCTGAAGGCATACAATAATCACCAACACAGCTGGTGATGTTCTGGCTGAGAAGCAGAACCCTTGGATATGGACAGAATCTATTTTTGGTACCAATGGACCAGGGGGTTGATGTCAGAGGTCATAACTCTCAATTAGGAGTGGAACTATGAGCCCCAGTAGGGGGAAAGTCAAGCCACCAGTGACAACAAGGATGAATGTAGAAGCTGACAACTGAACCAATGTGCATGCTAACCTTGGGTCTAGTCCTTCATCCATGGATTTGGTGATCCTGAGAGTCTTCCAACAAAGTTTAGTTTTAGGAAAACACGTTGAACTTTACAGTTGTAAGTCTGTAGAGTTACTGCTGTCCCACCAGAAGGCATTGATCTACTCAGGTTAACTATGAAGTCGACTCTAGAATTCCTACTTTCTAGGAGATGTATTCTTTGAGAGTCAGAATATGCATCCATCTGACTGTGGTAGTCTAAATAACTTTGTTCTGACAATTGTGCCAGATAAGGCATAGCTGTCCCTTCACATAAATCTCCCTGCATGAATCACATTGTGTGGGGAGAGAAGAAAAAAGTAAGTATTTGCTCTCAAACCTTTCAGTTATCAAGTAAGGAGCAAGCTCAAAAGCAACTGGGGAAAAAACCCAAAACATCACACATTCGAGGGACTAATTGATGAAAAAAACGAGCCTGATGCAGCTTATCCCAAAGTGGCCTATTGAGAAGCCATAAAAAAGAAAGCACAGGAAAAACAAATCTAAATTCACAACAGAGAGACTTCAGAGACCCCAGGGGGTACATTACCAAACCAATTATTTGTCTCCATCTCAATGAGCTCATTGAGAGTATAAAGCTGACAAAGTAAGAATTAAATTTTATAAATTTGTGATTGTGGTTTTAATTCTTGTTTCAGTACTTTTTGTAGTGAGATCCCTATTTCATTTTCAAATGCATAATATTTTAATCTTCTTGTTTGTTTACTTTTTATGTTACACCTATATACTTTATCTTTAGAAACTGTCGTGTGTCTATCCATCGATATATGTAGTGCCATCCATTAAGTTGATAAGATATACAAGTACATGCATAATTTGTTTACTATTTATGATATACCTGTGTATATATATATGTGGATTTTTATTGGAAGGGTAAAAATGAAAAACCGCCATCGAACCAAGTACTGTGGAGGAAAATTGGACCAAATGGCTTAGTTATTTTTGCTCTATGCTTTATGATGTGATCAGTCAGTCAGCCAAAATAGTAATTGTTTTAGAACTTTTAAAAAATTGTAGTGAGCAACTTACACCTTTTTGTCACTGTAAATCCAGGTACAACATTATTTTTGTTATGTCTATGTATTCCAGTAGGTTTTAAAAAGCATTTTTTTTCCACCATTTTTTTCCTTGTCAATCCCTACTATTAAGTACTACCAAACTTAATGATAAGCCCAGTACATGTCTAAGGTATATAGTTATCCTAATAAAATATATATACATCAGCTCTTGCACATACTACATCATAAATACATGCTATTTCTTTTCAAATAAACAGGTGTATTTGTAAAAGTATGAGACAATATACCTTATTATTCTAACTCATATTAATTTGAAATTTTTTTCCCTACTAATGTTAATTTCATCTAAGTTTTTATTTTTATAGTGAGTAAATGACTAGCTCTGACAATGCATCACAACATATTTCTATATACCTAAAATATAACGAACAGTATTAACATACTTGAGAACATTCATCAATGACCACTAGCTGAAAATGAGAAGAAGGAAGGTGCTTCAGTGGGCTTTCATATGAAGCACTTGTCAGTGTAGACAATACTACATCTGCCTGTTTCAAGAGGTTTATCACTGCTTGCTTCTCTCGGAGTTTCAGCTCTTGTTGTAGGATTTTGCTCTCCTTTCTTAAATTCTGTCTTTCTGTTTTACATTTTGTCTTCTTAATTTTCATCTAAATTAGTAACCAAACAATATTTTAAGATTTCTAAACACTACAAAACATACAGAGTGAAACCATTTTCTATAGATCAGTATGACCTAGTGATTTAGATGCATCTAAAAATTAATTACTCAAAACGTAGAAACTCAAATTCAACCATCAGAAAAATTATTCTAAGTTTACATTATAGCATCAAAAGGTCAGACACACTAAATAAAAAAAAAATGGCTGACACACATCACAGAAATTTCAACCAGTTAATGCTTTAAGAGTGAAGTGGGTCAACTTGACAAATTTTGGAAATGTGAATTTATTAAGTGTCTCTCCACAAAATATGGCATAGTTTTAGTAAACTTTACAAGTCTGATGTACACAAAAACTGCATTTTTTTAATAAAGTATTCTTATTAAAGGTTTGTTTGAGTCAGTCTGAGTTAAAGATGATTTTCATGCTTCAAATAAAAATATCTTCAAGCTTTCATATTTCATTTGCATAACCTCCATTTCCTTGTAAATGAATATCAAAAGTTTGTTTTATAAAACTTTATATTTTATCTCTTATCTTATCAACCCTAACACAAACTATAGAGAAATCATCAATATACAATGAACTGATATGTTGAAAAACATCAAATAAAATAAAAAATACATTTTTTCTCTGCACTGACTATAGTAACGATCAGAAAGTTCCAAATTACTTACCTAAACAGTTTCAACTTTTTTTAACATTTTATTACTGTTTTTGTTTAATTTTATAATTTTTATCACTGTACTTCGTACCACTGGAGCATTAAGTGAATTGCAGCAAGAGCCCATTAGTTGTATCCTGTAGAACTAGTGCAAATAACACATGATCTAGGGTAATATTTTTTCTAGTACTTGAGCTAATGTAATTTAATTTTGGAAATAAAGTTAGAAAAACTATTTTTAGTCTCCTGATAATAAAAAATATTTTTATTTCAGCTAAAATTTTTTTATTACTATCTGGAGAATAAAGACCACAATGTATAAATTCCCCCATTATGCACTAAAAGTTCTGAAAAATAACAAAATAGTGTCATTTCAGATGTTTTGTTTTAATGAAGCTTTGTTAAACTAAGCTGAGAAGTTTATATTTTTTCCATTTTATTTACTTTCCCTACAAAAATAAAAGAGTAAATACAATATTTGACATTCTCCATAAGCTTGATCAGTCCCAGAAATTTGGGTATCAAATTTGTGTAGCTTTCAAATATGCATTTTAGAAAACAAAACAAAAACTAAGCACCAGAATATAACATCCCAAAGCTACAAGGTTAAAAATTCTATTACAAACATTTGTGAAATATACAATTGTCTTTGATTTCCTCAATTTGGTAATTATGGAGTTTCCTCAAATACCAATGGTTTCAAGTATTAATTCTATTACTGTTTAGAGCACCAAATCTTGTCTACACAAACTAAACAATTCTTATGATTAAAGGATAACAAAAAGTGAATGCAGAACTGTAAGATGTATGTACAGGAGAACTTTATCTTTCTTTTGGTTATATAAATGTCCAACAACTTTTCTAAAAGTTGAAAGAGAAGGGGTGGGGTGTTTCTTTGGTAGGTTTGACAAATTCATTGTTATCTTACAAACAAAGAAAGTGGAAGGATCAAATTTTCGATTCTTGCTTGTAATTATGCATGGTTTATGGTTCTAATTGGTTGAAACTGCAGCAGCCTATTTTAGAAGTTAGAAAATTCTGAAGTAGAGAAATCAGAGCTCAGCTGCATCACATGACACAGAAAATGAAATTTGACATTTTTTAACATATTTCATTTTAAAATTATTAAGCAATTAAAATTTAAGTAATATAAACATTTGCATTATAGACCATGTTTTCACAAGTTTATTGATATACATTGATAATAAATTTGTTTAATTAACTTTTGAACATAACACTAAAACATTCAGGATGTGCACTTGGACTTAGTCATATGAAAAAGAGCTAGGATACAAGATTTCCATTTCCTAAATTTTCCACAGAAATGTATCTTTACATGGAGGAGAATAGAAATGTAAATCTATACAGCCCTGTAAAGCAAGTAGTAATGTTGCATAAGGTGACTTATTAATAGTTAAGAAGTACTGTATAACCCTCATCTTAATTTTCTTTAGCAAAATTTAAACATTAAATATGCTTTTATTATTGCATTTCATTGGTTTTCATACACTGAAAAAACAAAATTCTTTCTGAATATACTGAGCATTAACCTTTTGTATACAGGGTAGCATAACGTGTGTATGTCGTTACGTTAATACAGTTACATTCAAAATTTAATTAAACAGCTTTATTATCAATGTACATCAATACATTTAACATTAAACCATAGGTTAAATTCAATCTGTAATATCATATACATTTTAATTCTTTATTTGAAAAAAGAAATATTTAGTTAAACTCTCAGTCTCCATTTCTCTGTATTACAAGACACTTTTTCACTTTAAAATGTCCATTTTAGATTCTCTTTCTACTCTTACATGTTCTACTGAGTTTACCACAAATTAAAATTACATATAAAAAAGTACAAACATTCAACATTTAAAAATATTTTTCTGTATAAAGTTAAAAGTAAAATATACAAATACAAATTTTATAAAATTTATATGACAGACTTTTAATATTTACTAAAAGCTTGCCAATTTTCTTGAAAATACATTTAGTAAATTCAGAGTTATAATATATATATATATATATATATATATATATATATATACTACTATGTTACGTGTACGTACGGTAACGTAA